TGAGAGTGGAGAGCGAGAACATTTTCTGACGAAGGCAAACAAAAAAGCACCGCATCTCCAGGAGGTGATGCTGGCGTTGAGCTTCTTGACGTCTCTCTCTCTGGGTGTTGTGACAATGGCAGTGGCTTCTGTGGGCACGGGGTTATAGGGGTAACCACGGGGAGGGAGGGGTCAAGAGTTGCAGTCGCCATGATCTGGGTGAGGTGGAGGGTGAGGCTCTGCCTCTCCCCCCGTAAGCCCTTTGGGACCCACAATGCCTCTCGCTGATCTCGTCAAGGAGCATACATCATCACGCGAACTTTCGGGCGTCATCGCAGCAGCAGCAGCGGCGGCGGCTTTTGTTAAGCCATCGAACAAAGAACTCTCACCTGCATCGCGCGCTTTCAGGTGCGCGCTTCTGCGGCCGTCTGGAACGCTCTTCCTTTCCGATATTCGGGAGCCACCGGAGCTGTGCACCTTTACATCGAGATTGAAAACTAATTTCTTTGGAACTGCCTTTTTGTTTTTTAGTTTGTTGTCCCTAACACCGTTGCACCTCCCGATTAGGACGGTTGGCTACATTTTGTGCGAAAGAAATTCCACATGCCTACATACGTACATAGGGGGCTAAAGCGGATTGCACCCCCCTTCCCACTATTGAAGGCTCAGCCCCCCTCATCCATTGCCTGATCGATGGCCACCCAGAACAAGACGATGTGAGGTGTCTGTAGAAGGCAATGCAGCAAGTTGGTCATCTCTCGTACTTTACAGTTTCCCTAGGCACTTCAACTTGCTCCCGCATGCAAAAGTAAGATTCGACCTAAACGAAAAAAAGTGTTTTGATGAAACAATGCAAGGCCAGAAACTCGAGAAAATTATTTTTGAGACTCAACGAGGCATTCTGGTGTAAAGAGTACCTTTTTTTTTTTAGTTTGACATGGCCAATGCATTCAGGTCTCCTGTGTAAAATGCATTCGCTTACATTTTTACATGACGAACATGACTGACTTATTCTGATCTATTAATATGGATGGTATATTTAGAAAAATATGAACAATGCCCTTTGTTTATCCAGGAAATATTCACCCCGTCCCGAGGCACCTTTTTTCAGACACGCCTTTTTTACATTGGGATGCCAACACCATTTAATGAGTGGCAAGTTAGAGGAAGCCCGGGTACCCAGAGAAAACCCAGGGACTATCTCCCAAAGGTCCACTCGCATTGATTCGGGACTCGGTGTGCTGTATTGACATCTGCTGGGCCACTTCCCGTCCCGGTGAATGCAGCAGCTTCACAATTGTCGTTGTAATCCACCAACCCTTGCCTCTAAAGTGCTAGATCACAGACGCGCGCCACCATTTCTGACTGAATGTCATCAACCAGGGGTGTGTGTGTGATGTGGGGGAGCGGTAGTGTAGCGGTTTGTGCGCTGCGCTACGAACCCGGCGATCCTAGTTCGTTTCCCGCTCTCAGCCAATACCCCAGTGACGATTTTCTGCACCGGTCCTGGGTCTCCTCCCCTAGGTTGACTCGGCCTCAAATGAGTACCTGTTGCGGTGTTTAAACATCATCACTGGGGACAAGGGCGGTCGAGCGTGGTGCTGGCCACCCACCCCCTCGTGTACCGTGCCGGCCTTCATAGGTGCTCGCTAACAGCACTTGCCCCATCTGTCTGTTAAAGCTATATGGGGGATCTTTGTCTTTGATATATGTGGTGGTACAGTGGTTGGCGCGCCGCGCTACGACGGCCAACACCAAGTGCCCATGATCTCCACCGGTCCTGGGCCTCACCTCGGTCGACTCGGTCGGCTCGATCCCAAATCGGTACCTGGTGCGCTGCGTTAACGTCACCGCTAGGGAGGCAAAGTTGGTCCAGCGTGGTCCTGTTCTTGTCACGTTCTGATCTGCCCCTACTGGACATTTGTGAAAAAGAGCTTTATAGCAGCTAATCGGATTCCTCCAGTGTATATATATATATTAAGATTTCTGTACCGTGCCTGCTTTCATTAAGCGATCGCTCACAGCACTTGCCTCAACAGCCCGTGAAGGCTAAACGCGGGGGATCTCTTTGTCTTTGTGTGTGTGTGTCTATTTATAAACTCTCATTTTTATTTGGTTGCTTCAGAAGGAAGAGAAACAACATCGGACCCCACCCCACAGCAAACGCACACAATCAAATAAAGACAAAGTATTTCCACGCATTGAATACAAATTAATAATCAATCACAAAAACAAAAAGTCCCTCCACGCCTAATTTTGGAAAACTCGCGATCATGACACACGGAGCGGTTGAAAGCACAATGCAGCCTTGGCGAAAACAAGTCTAAGAAGAAAATAAATATTTGAAATGATTTGTTTGTACCATCGCATTGTACTGTTGCATAATGTGCGTACTTCGGGTCGGTATTCAATTTCGCCTATTGTTTATTCTGTTAATAATTAAGCAGTGTGCTGAACGCTTTAATTACTCTGCTCTAATCTCAATGGACGGTACAGGGTTTTTAACATGCTATTTAGACTTGTGTTGTACAATTCTTAGCATTCAATCCATTCAAATATGCTCAATGTCCCCCCCCCCCCCAATATATTGCTATTAAAAAATTGCTATGTAAATAAAAACAACAATTTGCTAAACCTTGGCCACAATATCTGGACTTGTCTTCATATAAATCAATGCATAGAGTTATGTTTATATGATTGTGGTTATGGTTGTACTTTATTAATTCCTAATCTCTGCCATTACATACAATGAAGCAAGGAATGGTAATAAAGTTAAAACGGAGCAATGTAATACAATACACTAGTAGACATTATTGTAAAAAATAAAAAAAGTCCATCCCATGTGTTAGTGAATTTTTTAAAATATTTTAGGCAGGAAATGAGTTTTCAAATTTATATATTTTTCTGGGTTGGGACCCCCAGACACCCTGGAAGATTTGGTCCCCCCCCAATGTTGATTCCATGGCTACGGCCTTGATTCAACCACTCCTTAGGATTTAACCGTCGATGTGTTTTATACATATTTCGAAATAGCAAGTAACATACATTTTATTTATTTATTAGCCGCCAAATAAAGTCTCCACCGATACAGACAAAGCATCTCACGTCCCCCCCCCACCCTTACAATGGGAATGTTTCCACAGCAATGCTATCAGTGTCGATATTCAAAATCAACAGTTTTATTTTTTATTCGTTATTAAGTCAGAAAAATCTCAAAAGAATTTCAGGACTTTTTGAGCAATTACATTCACTTAGTCTTGCATGGGGTCGGAAACGCACAATGCAAATCTTACACTTACGGAGGGGAAAACCACCCTACGCGTCGCCCAGACGATTCACGTTTCTATTTGATGCCCTGCCATGTCGCGGCTACCTCCATAGTCCAACGTTGGTATTTTCACCAAGTCTGTGAACCACCAGCCCGTGCCTCCCCAAGTGCTTGATCAGAAGCATGTACTCTCGTGCTTGGCTTTGTTTCGTGCATAGGAGGCAATTCTATTTTTATGTACCGTATACAATCATGAGCATGGCTTCCATAATAGTTTTTTGGATTGGCATGGCTTCTTTTTTATTAAAGTGTGGGTTTTCTCCCGAGTTTCATCAGCATTCAAGTGGTGCCTATAATTGAATGTCCATATTCCTGTGACGAGGGCTACCACTGATTTTTCAATGTGAGAATTGTAGAGTTGCCCATTTTTAGATGGCAGTAGAGCAATGGATTATTGAATCTATCTGTGTGGAGTTCCATTAACCCTTCATGTGCATTGGTTTTCTCTACATTCATTGTCATTTCTCCCACTTGACGAACACTCATCAGTGGAATCGGTCAAACATCCCAATGTAGAACCCTCCTAAAAAAAAAGTTGAAATTCACTGACGCTCTGCTGGCTGAACAAATGTGAGGTTAATTTTGTATCGGTGAAGGCGAGTTGCCCAAATAATTTTGGCCATCCCTTTAGGCGGCTAACAAATACTATATATATTTTTCTAGATTTGAAGCTTTCGTGACTGCAAGGATTTCATATGCTTAGGTTTTTTCGGTAAAGTTACATAGGGGAAAATAAATAAGTAATAAAATGCAATAATATAAATAATAATAGAAATAAAATAATAAATCACGACGTTTCGAAGGCAACACAAATAACTAGTTATTTTGCTGTGCTTTTTTACACCTGATGAAGGAAGCTTGTGTGTTGCCTCTGAAATGTCGTGATTTATTATTTAATTTCTATTATTATTTCTATAAAGCTTATTATGTATTTATTTTACCTACGTGACTTTACCGAAAAAACCTAAGAGTACAATTTTTTTTTGTTACCTGCTATTTATAAATACGTATAACACACAGACGAATACATCCTAAGGGGTGTTTTACATTTTGATAATTGTACAGCAGTAATCTAAATAGCATGTTAACAAACAAAGCAAACCTGTACCGTCCCAGGGACATGACTGGAGGTCATTAAGGAGTCTCATCTTGGTTGACCGGGAATTGAACTTCCATCGCAATTGGTAGCCCAGCTGATCTGCCAAACTCGCCGCTACACGCGAGCGACATCCTGCTCGTTTCCTCTTCTCCCGACGATTATTTAACGAGGCACCATTGTTTCGCGTGCCATTTATATTGTGTTCGAAATACCAGTGCAGACCAAACTTGGCTGGGCTGCGATCAACCGCGAGCACCGCTTTTAATGATGAAGTTTTTTTTTTACCATGTTGCGACAGTGAACCGAGATAGTTTTAGTTTCGAACGGGGCTGAGAAAGGAGTGATTATGGCCTGTTGCTAAACCGTCCTGGTGCTTTTTGTCCAGTTTGTTGTCCTTCCCCCGCACCTCCGATTAGCACGGTTGCATATGTACGGTGTGAAAGAAGTTCTACATACATGTGTGTGTGTGTTGGTGCTTCATTGAGCATCCGTAAAACGATTGCTGCAAGTTGAGCGATTTTTTCTTTACTCTTTTAAAGTATCTCTGACCCGATGTGGCCTCTGATAGAAAAGATCCAGAATGCACTGCGTGTGTACACACAAGCCTTGACACAAGCTTCGACTTTATTGAGGCCTCCCCGTTATTGCGTGCAACTCACAAGACCGATTTGAAAACAGACCCTGTAAGCACTCGACCTATTTTTTTTCACTACACGCTTGAACGATTCACCCCCCCCATTCGATGAATTGTCACGAATCAAGGTCGTCGTAACATACGAGAATAACATTCTCCTTTTTACCATCTCCTCTTGTATTGTTTCTCCATTACACCCGTCCCATTTTTGTACAATCGCCTTTGCTCCATCACTCACTTTTTATGCACACACATCATAAATACAGCAAAGTAATCGATTCTCACTCGCACAAATTCTACGCGTGTATCCCGAGCGCAACGGTCAATAAGAAATCGATGGATCTGTTCCACGCTTTCTTTTCATTTATCAAGGGCAAGCAATTTGAAGGCAAGCGGAGGAAATGTCATGTCTGTGATTCCCACAACGCTCCGTTTACACCATCTGCGTGTACCCTTCAAAGTTCGGTCATTGATAGCCAAATGCTCGTGTCAGACCATGAGTGTTTTTTTTTAGTATTTACAGATGCCCTTGCTACGGGGACTTTTTTTCCGGTTAAGTGGCCTCTGCACTGCTAAGTAGTTTGAGGCGGGGGGGGGGGGGTATCTATACAGAGTTCTGCAGTGCAAAGGGGAGCCACCGGCCAGACTAGCCCAAAGGCTTGCGAACATGCACACGTGTGTGTGTGCGTGCGCTGGAGGTGGCATGTGAAGAGACGTGTCTGACTGTCTGTCTGTTTTTTTTAAACCCCGTTGACATTTCAACCGTGCTTTCCGCATGTAGGCGCAAAGTCTATTTCAGTTTGTATCTCCTTGACAGCAGTCGCATGTCTCGCTGACTGAAGGGCCCAGAGTAATATCACACTGGCGTCTGCTTAATGAACGGTTTAAGCACTTGCCTTGCCCAAACCACGAGACCTGCGCTGCAAGCCTTGCAGGAGAGAGTGTGTGTGCAAATATATATACTCTTAGTTCTTTCGGTAAAGTCACGTACGTAAAAAATTAAATTAAAATAAAAAAGTATTTTTATTTTTATTAATTTTAATTTCATTTTTTACCTACGTGACTTTACCGAAAGAACTAAGAGTATGAATCCTTGCAGACACGAAAGCTTCAAATCTAGAATGCAAATATATAATTGAAATACATTGACAACTTATTTGCAATGTGTCCATTGGCTGCCTATTATGGCTTATAACATGTTTCTTTTATACCTTTTTTAAATCCTTTATATTAAGTTCGCTTGGTTGCTTATGACCGTGCAAATCTTTCGGTCGTTTTTTAACCCACTTCCCGTGATCCAATCGAGTTGACATTTTCCACACAGACTCGTTGTGCGTGACAATTAATGTCCGTGAAAACAATTTTCCAAAATTTTACACTTTTTAGGACAAAAATATATTTAATTACCAATTGCTTAATGGTGGCAGGCAATCATCTGACCCATAGGTGGCAGCCATCTCAAGCCAGAGGACGAGAGGACTCTTGCCGCCACGCATATAAAGGATTTATAGTGAAAAACGTTGTTTTTACGGGTTATACTTGTTGTTTGTTTTGTTTTTTGAGTACTTCAGTGACCATGCTGATACCGGAGAAGCGGATTGTGTCATTTGATGGGCGCTCGGGGCTCAAACTCCGCTCTCAGGAGGATGTTGTGGCCTCTGTGTTTTGTGAGCCCCTTGGCTTTGGCTGGGGTTCTCAAGTCCAGTAAAAGATCGGAGCCACTTTTGCCTACCGCTCCAAGCTTTGACCGGCGCATCTTGTGAGCGCCACGAGTCACAAGATCGCATTGGCTACTTTTTAGGCAATGCCTAATTAATAAAACATGCAGATTAGATTTTTTTAAATTCAGTCTTGTCAAGTACCAGCATGGTGAAGTACGATCAGATAAGTCGCATAACCCATACAGCATGGGGGGAGTCCTTTACTCAGCAATCCTTCTGTAATGTTAGGGTAGTCACCTATTACATATTTGACAATGCATTTCTTTATCACTTATGGTGTAACGTACATATGTTATTGCATTTATAAATTGAAATTGCGCTGTCTAAGCATTTCCAATGGACCATTTGTGGTCTACCCAGTGAAATACAAAAAGAACTCAACACATGAGTCTAACACCGTGGCCTTAAAAGTTAAAGTATATCATAGGTGACGATTTGGGCAATGGGCCTTCTTCACAGCACATGTGCCGAAACGCCTCCTATTCTGTACTTTTTTTAAGGTGGCGTTAATGAGCAAAGTCGGTGGACCACTGCCAACGCAGTATCACCTGGACAATTAGTTTAACCTGCAAACTCCAGACTGAGCATCAATCATGCCATTGATACAGTAGCACATGGACAAATAATGTAATCCGAATTCCACCCACGGGGTTTTTTTTGTTGCCATTTTTGCTGTCCCAGTTCTTTTTAAATCTTAAAAACTCTCACAGTACCGAATGCTCGCAACCTCTTGACCCGAGTAGCTTGAGCACACAGACTGAACCGCGCCCCCGCAGCCTCGCTCTTAAATTGCATTGCAACGCTGTTTTACATGATATCGTCATGGAAGGCACAAGTGTGTGTGTGTGGTTTTATTTTGAATAGCTGAGTCAGTCTTTAAAACAATTTGAGCTTTTAAAAATACATACGTAAAAAGTGCAGATTTACAGTATTAGGCAACGTCACTACATGTATATCATTTCATAGTCTGATATCAAACAACAGTTAAAATAACAGTTTGTATTCACATACCTGTTCCTTCACATCTCAATTACATTATCAAAAATATGACAAGGTTTATGGCCCTTTGTTTTATTCAAAAACATCTGAAATGTTTTGATATTTCAGAACGGCATTGAAATACAAATGCGTTTTCCTGCAGACGCATCGACAAGAAAGCAGTGGCAGTCTTTGTTAAAAAAATGGCTCCTTTTTGTTTACATTTTGGTGTAGAATTTTAAGAGTTCTTTTCACTTTCCGCTTTGAAATGCGTTTTACTTGCAATTCGTCCACTGGCTGCTGATTTTAACTTGTTTTTGTTGATTTGATCAACAAAATGTTCAGTACAGAAGTGAAGCAAAGTGTTTTGAGACATCCTTATGATGTTAGTTGTGGAGGGGGGTCTCGATTGTAGCGTTTTTGCAGAGAACCTTGAAGCTGATGGAGTGGGCAGGCGAATCCTCTTTGCGTCAAGTGTCTCCTTCAGCTGCCGCATAACGGCGTGACCACCCGCAGACGACAGCATGCACCTCCTTCCTTCCTCCGTTCATTCATATTCCACAATTCGACATTCGCAACAAACACTGCTTGAAGCAACTGCTCATGGAATTACACCGGGTTTTGTCAATTTTTGATGGATTCATTATCTGGAGGGCCGTAACTTTTTTCAGGTTAACTTGTTGATTGCATAATCAATGCTGGTTGTTGTTAAAGGTCCACATTTCATATCTCCTTCCCGGTTTGTCGCTTACCCTCTGCACCAACCGTAACTGAAGCATTGGCAGAGCGCCTGTGTCTCCTCTTGAATTGATTCTTCTCCCGCTGAACTTGGGTTGAGTGTCTTCGCTTTTCCGGCACTTCCCAAGTGTCCGTTTTTACATTTCGTCGTCGTTTTTTTCTTTATTGGACGCAGCAGCTGTTCTTGTGGCCGTTAGAATCCTTGAAACGCAGTCGCATCTTGGGCCGGTATTTCTCCAGGTACAGCAGCTGCTTGCTGTTAATAGCCCCTCGTCGCTTTCTGTAGGGGCAGTAACCAGAGGGCGAAATAAGTTCAAGTTCAACATTCTTTATTTATGCATTTCACTCCCAAGCCAATGAGAAGCTCCATTTGGTCTTATGAAAAAAAAGTGCAGCTTTGTTTTAATCCTGGCAAATGCTTACAGATTCTTAACTTATTTTTCAGGAGGGGGTTCTACAGGGTAATTTTGTGGCCAATTTCATTCTGAATGAGGTGGCGTGTTGGATGAAACCAGCGCGCCCGGAGAAAACTCGCACACGAGGGGATATCGGTCAAACCTCTGGACAGATGTGTTCGGTTCACTTGCTCGTGTGCTTATGTCCTGGCCACCTTGCAGCTCAATGGGTTGCAATTTAAAGAATTTTCACATGTCCCTTTATCCACCGTCACTGCCAACATAACGAATCGATCTTGATTTGAAGTTTTTGTGACTGCAAGAATCCATACTCTTTGGTTCTTTCGGTAAAGTCGTGTGACTTTACCGAAAGAACCAACGAGTATAATGCATCGAAAGCATGGGTTGCCACACCTGGCTAACGAGGCCACTATAACCTGCTGAGCTAACACCAACTCTGTGGGGTAGTCCAATGATGATCGACTGCCCTATGGCAATTATTGCTCCCCACCATGGCGACGTGGAATTTGCACGACCGTCGCAGAGCTTGCCAGTTCAGATGATCGTGGAAAAAGAGTCACGAGGGGGCAGTGTTGGACCGCTCGGCCACGAAACTTCGAGGCGAGAGACCGATGCCTCCACACCCGGCGGTGATGAACTCGGTCTCGGTCGTGAGGGGAATGAACAAAATCAAATAACGGCAGTGCATATTCTTGGATTTTTTTTCGGTAAAGTCACGTAGGTAAAAAAAATTAAAATTAAAATTAATAAAAGTAAAATAAAAATAAAATAAGAAATCACGACGTTTCGGAGAAACCACAAGCTTCCGTCTTGTGTTGCCTCCGAAACTAAAATTAAAATTAATAAAAGTAAAATAAAATAAAAAAAATCACGACGTTTCGGAGGCAACACAAGACGGAAGCTTGTGTTGCCTCCGAAACGTCGTCATTTTTTATTTTTATTTTACTTTTATTAATTTAAATTAAACATTTTTTTTACCTACGTGACTTTACCGAAAAAACCCAAGAATACGAATCCTTGCAGTCACGAAAGCTTCAAATCTAGAAACGGCAGTGCAGTCCAAACATAATTTAATTTGCTAAAAATTAGGGCCTCCTTAAGCTGTGCCCATTGCTCTCTCAAGGTACCGACGATGTCACAATTCACCTCGCGCCCGCGGACGAGAATTGTATCGCTCCATCTCCATTTCCCTCCCATTCCATTGTGTTTCTCGGCCCCACCAGGCGTCACACCGTTTGTTTCTAGTGATAAGTCTTACCAACACCCCCCCCCTATTTTTTAGACTCCTATATATGATCAAATCCATGTGTTCCTCATTTTATCTATCGGTGCAAATCCAAGCGTGCATCTCGCCATGCTTCTTTTGCGCACCCTGTTTGAACTTGTTCCATTTTTCGTCATTACCTTCCCATATTTCTTTATCGACATGGTTTGGCGGGTAAGAAACACCAACATTGTTTACACACTGGCATGCTGCTTTCGCATCAGCTTTAAAAAAAGCACACCCAACCTGCTCTCTTATCCTCCTCCTTCATTTCATTAGGGGCCGTCCATAAATGACGTCACGCGATTTTGGACGATTTTTGACCCCCCCCCCTCGTCACACGACGTCACAGTCACAAAGTCAGGCCCCCCTCAAATATGACGTCACAAAGCTCTGCCCCCCCCCCAAAAAAAAAAACATGCTTTAAATCGCTTTAAACAATTGTCATTGTAGTGCGTATTTAATGTGGCGCTGCACTCTGATGTTGTAGGAGAAAACATTTATTTTAAAGTCTATTTAATTAAGTAGAACGTGTTGTCGATTTTTAAAGTTGCGCATTTTAATGTGACGTCACATTTCTCAACCCCCCCCCCCTTCGTCTGACCCCCCCTCCCCCTAGGTGAGTGACGTCATTTATGGACGGCCCCTTATTTGAATCTTTCCACGTCCAATCACCTGCCATAGGAATCCTATTTTACAGTTGCCCCTCTGACAGATCTAATTGTTTACTGGACTTGTTTTACACGAGGTGTCCTCTTGCACGGTTGATTTGAGGACACCTGATTGATGGCGGGGAAGAAGAGAATAATGACATTTTTGAGACCAAGTCACGAATATTGCATCGTGATGTGCGGACTTACTGCCTGATGAACTGTACAGCGTCTTCATACTTCATCCCACTCTCGATCAGCGCCAACGCCACCAACACGGGAGCCCTGAGAGGGAACACGGCAAAGCCCGTCACGCCGCCAGCCGAGTGGAAATGCATATCTCAAGTTATAATGAGAGTGCCATTCAAAACCAGCTTGTGGGTATGTACGTTAAACTTCTTTCGCACCGTACGTAGCCAACTGTGCTAATCTGAGGCGTTGTAGTGGTGATTTTGTAGGTGGATGTAGCTCGCATTAGGAGTTTGCAATAAAAAAGCACTCGATCATGGTGCCTTTTTCCCAGTATCTAAGTATGAAAGGTCACATGATGTAGCTGCTCACCCTGAGCTATGAATGCTCTGATTCGTGTAGCATTGTCTTTGCACTGTTCGCATTTTGGCATTCCCTGGTCTGATAATGGTGACACTCGGCCCTAAGAAGGCTGTGTCTGGTGTAGGCCCAATCGGTTTCATGGACGATGCAAACATTATCAGAACATGTTTGTTTGCACGTTCACCACAAGTACGTGTGGTGAATGCGGACTTAATTCCTTGCAAAAGGTTTCCATTTGGTGTTTGAACATCTTCACCTGTTGTATTGCAAGAAAAGGGAAAAACCTATTATTTTTCAAAAAGTACTTTGCCGACGCTCAGATGGGAAGTAAGAGCGAGCCATGGGCAAGCGTTGAGAACTTTGTGTGCCAAATTGATGTTAAGTCTCCAAGGGCAGGGAGGGTTGTTTCCTTTTGTCCGATTGATCCAAGCGCACAGATTCCCAGCACCTCCCCTCGCGCCGTATCCACGGCTCAATCGTAACGCTCCCTTTGCCTGCGAGCCGTGGACTGCTTATTTACCTGCTCTAGCGATTCTGCATTGATTAATTGGAAAAGTCTCGGGTGCCAGGTTGAAGAGCAGACATGCTAGACTTACAACGGAGTCTATTCCAATGGCGTATTCAGAGTGCAATGGTCTATACCAGTGGTTCTCGACTTCCTTTGGATTTGCGTGCCCCCCCCCCCTCGCCTCCAATCACGACCACTGGTCCCTGTGGTTCCCCCCCCCACCCCCCACATTTCTAAGGTAACACTAAACATAATTTGTATGCTATTGCCTCAATTCAATGCGGTACTGGTTAGACATGCGTGCCATTTTGTGTATTGGTGTGCTTTGCAATGTGCTGCTTGACATTCCCCCGCCGACGTTCATAATATCTCCTGCACGGTGTCCATGCTGCAGCCTGTGACCTCCCTGAAAGGCCTTCAAGACCTCCCTCAGGGGTGGGGTGCGCCCCACGGATTGAGAACTGCTGGTCGATGCCATTCTTCGGAATCAGAACTTGAGTTGCGTTGTGTGCCACGTGTCCATTAGGCACACAGTGATTACGACTGTGAAGGCGCGTGCAACAGATTGTGCATCTGTGCGCTAAGCATATGAACCTTAGGGCCGGACCCCGGGGTCCCGCATAAACGGAAGTCGAAATCGTAATTATTTGATACATTTTTGGCATCTCCGTCCCACCGCGCACATAAACGCAGCGACCCATCTGGCGCAGATCATTCTGTTGTCGTGTCGTCCAAGCGCAGCGAGGGTTAATGCGCAGAAGAAACAAAACTTTGAAACGTTGATTAGCGCATCGTGTAGAGCTCGTCGAGAGGAATTGATTGCTGTATCGTTCGTCTTCAACGGACATAAAATGACGCTGCAACGCAGTTTATGCGAGAGCCGGTGGCTTATGGGACCTCGGGGTCCTGCCATAAGGTTCATATGTAGATTGATATAACTCGAGGCTAATGAAACGAAGAAGACTGACAATTAATGGGGACATGCAAGATGGACAATATAAAAAATATGGTATAAACAAGACCTAGGTTACTTGATTTTTGTAATCACAAGCTGGTATTGTAATGAGTAGAATAGTGAAACCGTCGACAAAGGCTGGTAATAATTCACTGATCATTATTTAATTCAAGAGTCTATTCATTGCCCTTGAGGCTTGTTACCTAAAATCGAGAGTAGCTTCCATTCTCTAACACGTGACGTTGCCGTACGCGAAATAAAAGTGAGAGATTCGTACACCCACAATTCGATGCATGGTATTGTGAGCCTAATGATTGTCTTCATCATTGCCTCCTGACCCACAGACACCACAACCCATGCCGTTATTGTGGAAGCCGAGTTGTGCACGATCCCTGTAAAAATCATCAGGCACCACACTACACCAGTCCCACGTGGATTGACAACACCTGCAGTATTTACCGTGCTCCCGTGTGCAATGTCAAACAGCATACTCCTTCACTTTACATCAGTTTGGGGGGGGGGGGGGGAGGAGTCCATTCTCTTGAGGGTTTAAGGTCACCTGGCCCCTAGATGGGTGTGTTGCTGCCCCTTCAGAGGTTATAGGCCTCTCAATGCTGCTTGGCTATTGTGAAATAGTTGGGCCATCCATGGGGGTGGGGCAGTGGAGTTGGGTTAGACGGGGTCTGGTTCAAGTGAGGATTGGCGTAGGGAGGAGGGGTGTTATGGAGTGGAGCGGATGGAGCGTTATCCTATTTCCTTACAACCCTTGAAATAACTCCCGAGATGAGTTTAGTCTGGAGACTCTAATTAGAGAGTGGCGACGCGAATGTGGGCTATCGCATTCGCAAAAAAGGAGGTCCGACTTGGGTAGGGCAAGTCACTAGTCGGGACTGCAAACTTTAACGGGAGCCAATGGAAGTAATGTGCTTAAACAGGGACAATCCAAGGAGAGAGATGGAGCAACTAAATTATAGTATAGTGTAAGTAAAATGGACTGCAGCTGCGTTTTAAAGCAGAGGTATGCGTGTGCACATGTTTACGTGTGTGCCTTTCACCCGCCCACTTTAAAACGTTGGCACAAGTCCTTGCAAGCATTGATGGGGCTTTCTTAATCATAGCAGTTCCTTATTAAGCTATGGGAACACAGTGCTACTTTGTGGCTTCAAACGTAGCTGTAGGAGAACCTGGTATTAGGCTGTGATGTGGGCAAACACAAGGGGAGACTTGTGGGACGGGACCACAGCCAATCGGAATAAAGGCAGGTTATATGCGTGGACGAATTGAGTGCAGCAACAGCGCTTTGCATCTGAAGTCGTTTAAAAATAAATAAATCTGTCCCCGATAAAAGGTTGGTTTAGCAGCAAACTATGTGGCGCCTAGTTTTTCTGCACCGTGGTATTACTGTACCGACACTAATACTAAGTGGTTGTAAATATATTTTTTCGGCCCTTCTCAATTCACTGCTCTGTTGGCCTTGGGGGATTTTTTTTATTTCCCACATTTTACTGCGCTGGTCAGTGCGGGTTGGTGAAGGGTCCAGGATCGGTTCAGATAGCACTCGCCACTGATGTTAGCCATGACCCAAGAATTAAATTGAGCTCGCTGGGTTCGCAGCAGAATGCACTAACCACTGTGCCACCACTCCGCTGTAGTATTTTGGTGACGTTTAAGGAATGTTCAGATCTAATGCTGTATCTAACAAATGTTCATGGCTGTGACATATGTAAATTATAATGATCTAGAATGGCTAGAAATCGGAAACATGGTGCCAACATGAGGCCTATGACCAACAAAATCCTAAAAACGAGAATTGTGTAAATTTGGGTCTGCCATAATTAATTACAAAAATGTTGCATTTTTTTGTATTTAAACCTGAGCCTATGGAAGTTTTCATATTGGGATATTTTAAATGGTGACAATATGAAATGAAATCGTTAAATCAAACCCATACTTTTTAAAATTTCGGCCCACTGTTTTTGTGCGTTTTTGATCTTTGGTTAAGAATCAAACTCGGGTTGCTGGGTTCATGGTGTAGTGTCCTAATTATTGTGCCACCAATCCTTCACAAAGACTGTAGAGGCCCTGATTGCAGCTTGTGTCCTCTTCCTTCCTCGAATCACGGAAAACCACACGGCATTTGCGACAGATGGAGGTGGCAGCCAGGACATCGTGATTTATGTAACATCACCCTACCCCATTCCCCTCGATTCCATTTAGAGATCTATTTTTGGTTTTTTGGACCTCTCGATTAAATCGTGGACTGGTTTCTACAAGGCCAGCGAACCATGAGTAATCCGTGTGGAAAGGCCTGCCTCGACTCACCCCGGACACTGCCTTTTAATAATCCCTTAATGGGGACAGATGATAATGCTGGAACAAAAAATAACACCCAAGCGCTGATCAAAGGCACTGCGGTGGAGTGGCCTTGTTTAGCACGTGGCACTTAGGGAAAACGTGACGGCTGTGATGAAGGTGGAGGAAAACAGTTCTGCTGTCGATGGGGACAATTTTCAAGTGACGATTTGGCACGAGTGCTTGTACTCGTGATTTAGTTTTTTGTGTGTCGCGTGCGTCGCCTTGTTTTTGGTGATGTGAAAAGCCTGTGAATTAACCACGCCGTTACGGAACATGTGAAAATGGAACGAAGCATGGGCAATAGAGCTCTGCCGCCTTATTGGTAGCAAGCGATGCCTGTACATGTGCACAGTTTTTTGTGGAATTGTGTTTTTGTTATGTCGGTGTCATTTGCATAATTTCCACACAGTTGTTGGGAATGCTTGCATAGTTCAGTAATATATTATATTGTCTGGTATGTAGTTGGTCATCGGTGAGTGAGTGTAAATGCTTGCGGTTTTCTAGGTCTAAAACGCGGAAATTTGGCAGAAATGTAAGATTTCTGGGTCTCCTGAAATGTATCATTGTTGAACCCAGACTTTTGTGAACTTTCACATGTGGATGGCTTTAAGAGGCACTGAATCCAGGTTAAACACTAGATGGTAAAATCCATAGACAAAATTTTTCATTTTCATACACCAGCAATTGGGGGGGGGGGGGGGGGGGAGAATATTTTCAGGTTTTTTAACCCATTGTACCAGTTTAAAGGGTAAAAACCTACTAATATATTTTGCCACTGGTAAAGGACGTCTCATAGTGTAAATGCTTACCCGAGCTCTCAATACTCTGAGAGTGCGCTGTTTTTGAGTTGGTACGCCTTTTGGCGTCATCTGGTCCAACACCAATGGAGACTAGGCTCTAAGAAAAGCTGTCTCGGGTGTGGACCAATCAACTTCAAGGACAGTGCATATAATTATCATCATCAGAGTTGTTTCTTTTTGTTTGCATTTTGACTGCTTGTGTTGTGGTTATTGAAAACATGATGCCTTGTATAAAGGTGCCAGTTTTTGTACCAGTTTAAAGGGTAAAAACCTACTAATAAATGAAATCTTGCTTCTTGAGGTTTTCACTTGCGGCTGAATGCAAATACTTTACTGTATTCTATTTAACTGCCTGAATGTGGGGTGGGGGTGGTGGATTCTAGTATCGGCACCCATTCCCAAAATAACTTTTGTCATCAGCAAGATAACTCTTGAAATCCTCATGGTTACTCGTCGATAAGCATGGATAATACAATGAATGTTTAATCATTTTGGGTTACGCCTCTTAGCCACAAAAACAAGGATAATAGGATAACATTCGCACTTCTAGTAGAGAACTTCTGGGTAAGCATCTGCAGATAAAGGCAGACAATATGATTTATCTCAAATTATGGGTAACTTGTGTGCATGACAGGATACATTTGGGGTCGGTCTTTAACTGTGAAATTCGGCCAATAAGAATCCATCTGCGAAATGTCACCTACATGTGCTTGTATGCACGCAGGTACGTATTTGTGTACACGCGCACGTGTGTGGAGCGGTGGTGTAGTGGTTTGCGCGCTGCGCTTCAAACCCGGTGTCCCCAGTACGATTCCCACTGACGGCCAACACCAGTGATGATTATCCGAACCGGTTTTGGGACTCCGCTAGGTTGACTGGAGCAGTGTGTAAACATCGCCACTGGGGAGACAAAGGCGGTCGGGCATGGTGCTGGCCACCCACGCCCCTCGTGTGCCGTGCCGGCCTTTCATAGGTGCTCGCTAACAGCACTTGCCCTATAACAGTCTGTTACAGGCTATACTGGGGAAAATCTTTGTCTTTGTACACACTATCTAATGAGAGCATTTAGATACTGTGTATCTGCGAGATGCAAAATTTGTCTTTATACCAGAGGTCGCAAACGGGTTTTGATTCCTTACCCGTACCCGTACCCGGCCGCACCAGGGTCGCAAACGGGTACCCGTACCCGGCCGTACCCGTACGGGTATGGGTAGGGTACGGATATCGGGTACCTGATTGCGACCTCTGGGATGAAGCCATGTTGCAGGCGCGGGTGGGCTGATTCTAGTAACTTGAATTGTGAGAAGAGACAAGACGTTGGGAAATGAGTGACACAGTTACTCACCAGTGACTCACCGCCTACCCGTACCCGGCCGCACCAGGGTACCCGGTTGCGACCTCTGCTTTATACACGTGTTTACGTATGCCGTTGCTGAGCTATTTGTCGTCATCCTTTGCAAGAAATGCTTACCTGCCCAGACCAGCAACGCAGTGGACGGCTACACACGATCCCGGGTCCTCGCGAAACTTTGTCTTGAGAAGGCTCAGCCAATCGTCGACCACTTTCCCAGGGGGTGGGGCGCCGTCGTCAAACTGCCAGTCCTGGTTACAGCGAAAACATCAACACGCTCCCTTTTTATTTATATCTCGCCTTGCCCCGAACAATGTCTGTGACACCAAAGGAAAAAGTTCAAATCGGTCACCCAACCCTTGCACAAAATGGCACCTTTAAGTTTGCGGTCCAGATAGCTGGAGCGGTGGTGGCTATTGCACTTAAACCAAACCTATGTTTTACATTTTACCAGGTAAGGCCCACTGAGCGATATAGCTCTTTTCAGAAGCCACCTGGCCACACATGACAACTCGACGAAGTGACTTATGTGGAAATTTATAGCAGCCCAAACCTCTAAGCACATTTTGATTCTAAATGTGGAGGGGGAAAAACCGGAGGACCCAGACAAAATCCACGCAACCACCGGGGGGGGGGGGGGTGGGGGGGGAGACATACACGCTCCAAATATAGAGGGGCCGGGATCGAACCCACGACATCCTGACGCGCACTTTGTCTGCAATGCAGCACTGGAGAGAAGCAGCGAGGCTTGGTGGATGTCACGCACGAATGTTGCGTAACTCCCCTTGCCGTGAGCGTCGAGGTCGCTATACCCTGGGATTGCCAGGAGAAGGCAGACGAGCAGAGTGCAAGCTGTATGGGGTCGAGGATGTGGGGCTTCTCCAGTGTCATGCCACTTATGCACGCTCATGAAGTGGCTGAAAACATCTTTATGTTGAGGACTGCAGAGCTTTGGAAATTTGTTGGTGCCGGCTCACCGCCTGGCAGCTGCCTTCCGGGATCATCTGCGGTTCTTCGGAGATTGCGAGATGCAATTTGCACGCATGACAACGCTACATATACAAATGAAACGCTGCCATCATTATTATTTGAACTCTAAAACTTTGAAGGAGTGTTCGCTTTTTCAGTGGCTTCCAAATGATGTTATTGCCAGGTAGACGCAGCAGCATCATTCCTTTTGCAGGGAATGGGAAATGCAGGGGCAGTGGGCGGTAACAGCAGCCGATAATTTACGTGCGTGTTTAAATCTCACGTAACGATATTTATTATATTTCGATTTAAAGCTTTCGGGACTGCAGGGATTCATCTTCTTGGTTCTTTCGGTAAAGTTACGTAGAATGGAAATAATATAATAATAAAAATAAAACATAATAAAATAATTCTCACGACATTTAGGCTGCTTGCGTTGTGGCCGAAACGTCGTGAGAATTATTTTATTATGTTTTATTTTTATTATTTTATTATTTCCCTTCGACGTGACTTTACCGAAAGAACCAATAAATGTATTATCTCGCCACCACGTGCGAGCGTCGTCTTACTTCGCTGTAAATCTCCGCGCGGGTGAACGCAGATAAGCCACTTTGGCAGATGTGCACATTGGGCAGGGGCCACGTGGGTATTTAAACTCATTCTAATTATGGTCTTGGTATTTCTTGGCCTTACCTGCCCTTTAAATGTCACAGCTCCGTGTTCTGCCGATGAGGACGGGTGCGTCTGCGTGTCTTTATCTGAGCGGGGTAATAATGCTGGCGATGCTGTGTTTATATTGGGGGGAGTGCAGGGTTGATTTTTTTTTTAATAATCTGCGTGCAGAGGGGTAAAAACGGGCTACTTTGAATATCCACATTCCCTCTTTCATGTGCGTTAGGGGTTGTATGTATCCACAATTGCAGACTGTTGTGTTAGAAAACGGGACCTTGTCTCCACCAGATACACAAGCAGAATATTTATGACCCAGGTGACTTTTGAAAAGGAGACCTGGGTGGGTTACAAGGACAAATATAAACACCGGCAGACAGAATAATAATAATATTTCATTTGATAAAAAATCCAATTCCATAAACACTCGTAATTTATGTGCCCTATCATATTAAATACAGTAAAACCTTGGATTGCGAGTAACTTGGTCTGCGAGTGTTTTGCAAGACGAGCACCAATTGTAATTAAATACTATTTTAATAAACGAACGAGGTCTTGCAATACGAGTAGTACGTGTATACGCTTTGTCTGCCAAGCGTCACGTGATCACAACTGATATACGAGTGTCTCGCTCGTTACGAATGGCATCGGGGGGAGGGATCTTTAACGGCCACTGTGAAGCTGAGAGCGCGTGTATATATATATGTTGTGGTTAATACACCCACAGTCATTAACCAGGGCAGCCTGCTGGATTTGAATCAGGAACATCTGCTAATAAGCGGCGAACACGCTGCCACTGGGCCACACCATCGTCCCAAATGAACATTCTTAACGACGAGGACTGACCAATGCACGCCCCCCCCCCCCCCCCCCCGCATACTGATAGTGGAAAGAATCCCATTTTTGGCGAGGTAACATTTACCGGATAGTGTGGTTAAAAATACAAGGTTTTGTCCGTGAAATAATGACCTAAATGAGTTTGCGCCAAGTTAACGAGACTCTACAACAGTGGGTATCACCAGGGCTCTGGGTAACTGACCAGATGCTTGGAATTCTGGCCTCCCCTGGTGAGGTTAGCAGCGAGAGCGAATGTCTCTCCGTTGCCGTCTTCCCACTGGACCTGTGAGCGGTCGGAATAGAAGGCTCGTCGTGTTTCAGCCGCAGGCCGTTTTGTTACTGTAGCACTGCCAGCCTTTACACCATTGGAACCTCATTTGCCAGTAAAAATTATGATAATTGGTTTTTGACCCTTCTATCTGGCAACAAAACTGACACTTTTATTTTAATTTTTTACTGGCAAATGAGGTTCCAATGGTGTAAATGCTTACCCCGAGCTCTCATACTCTGATGGTGCATTGTCTTTGAGTTGTGCGCCTTTTGGCATCATCTGGTCCAACCGATGTGAGACTAGGCTCTAAGGAAAGCTGTCTCGGGTGTGGACCAATCAACTTCAAGGACCGTGCATACATTATCAAAGTTATGTTTTTTGTTTGCATTATGACTACAGGTATTGTGGTCTATGCAAACATGACTCCTTGTAAAAAAAGGTATCAGTTTTGTTGCCAGATATAAGGGTAAAAAAAACAATTATCACTGCCAGCCTTATTATAACAACAAGGGCAGACCCTTCTCTGAGAAAACACAGCTGCAACTGGCCGACTTAAAAAAAAAACCCCACAGAGGCACCCCTCCTGTGGGCGTAGGCTTCGGGCCTTCTTCACAGAGGGGGTTCCCTGCTCTGCGTGAGTCTGCCTTGCATGGGGGTGACTTGCGAGGAGTCCCCGCGCGTACGTGTGCTCGTGGTTCGCCGTGCTGCTCTGATCCACGTGATCGACCGCGGTTCGGAAGTATAAACAAGGGATCAATGTATGCAAGGTGAGAGTGGTGGAGAGATCATGCCTTCACCGGAGCCCATGCCTCCACTTCACACTCAGCTCTCTGCCCCCCAATCCGCCACACCACCCATCCACCCCCATACCGCTGAGCTTCTCCAAACCCGGCGTAACAACGCCCCCTACAATTCTAGATTTGAAGCTTTCGTGACTGCAAGGATTCATATTCTTAGGTTTTTTCGGTAAAGTCACAGACGGAAGCTTGTGTTGCCTCCGAGACGTCGTGATTTTTTATTTTTATTTTATTTAACTTTTATTAATTTAATTAAAATTATTTACCTACGTGACTTTACCGAAAAAACCTAAGAATATGCCCCCTACAATATTTACTTTAGTCGCATGTGTGCTGGCAGCCGTTGTGGCAAAACTTCGGTTAAATCGGGGCGGGGGGGGGAAATGAAAACCAAGTAGGACTGATTCTCCACCTTTGTAATGCAAAGGTTATCGCGAACTCCCAGAGCGGCACGACCTACGTGTTGAGAGCCGTTGATTTATAGACAACTTTGCATCCATTCGTCGGCATAGGTTATGCAGCCAGCAAAAGCAGTATCAAAAAATAATACGGGTGCAAGTGTAGTTTAAGGGATACGTGCACTTGCTTATGAATTATGGGTTTAAAAAAAAGGATATTACAGTTGAATCCTTGGCTCTGAATTGTGAACAATTCATCGAATCGCGAAAGGGTGACAACTCGCTTCAACTCCACTTTTCTTGGTAACATACGCAAAAAAAGGCGTCAGTTTTGTTGCCAGATAGAAGGGTAAAAAAACAATTATCATATTATTTACTGGCAAATGAGGTTCCAATGGTTTGCTTATTGAGTTGAACGAAACAAGGGCTGCGTCCACGTAAACAAATAATTGAACCCCCACAATGCACCATTATTTAAAGCCGCCCTAATACGAATCAAGTGTGCAAATGCTCAACGGTCCCATCCTCAAACCGGCTCCGCTCCTTTGTTCTGTGCTAAGATGTGCGAAGGGAAAAACCCTCTCAAAGCCACTCTGGTAAATGGGGGGCGCACTGTCATTTCAAACTCTTCTCATTATATTATACGAGCCGGGACTTTACAGACGAAACACGACCCGGTGTTTTTTTTTTCCCCCCGCAATGGCCAAACACTTTAAAAAAAGCCACCTGCATGCTGGCAAATAATAAAAATAGCGTCAAATGTGGTGGCGCTTTTTATTTAGTCAAACATTTTCACCAGTTTTTTTTCCCCCATCTAATTCTACGCGGCTAGTTTTGCCGCCCGTGTTCCAAGGTCGCGGTGTTTTTTAATTTTATTTTGGTCTTTGCGCACGGTTTGGCTTCTTCTCAGAGGAAGCCTGCTTGCTCGTATTCCAGGCAGGGCCCTAGAACAGGAAGAGCGCCTTTGCTTTCACAGCTGTGTCGCTGCCAAAGCTGCCCTCGGAGACGACCGCTCTGCTCGGAGCGAACCGAGGTGCTCCCCTCTCTCGCTACCTGTCTACCTGAGCTGGCGATGGAAATTCAACATTTCCGTTCCAATGGCCACTGTGCATAGGGGGACAACCACTGTCGGCTTCCCACACAAAGCGGGTTCTGGTTTTTGGCGACTGTGGAGGAATGGGAGAGATGAATTCCCTCCCTACCCCATCTGGGATTATTAGCATATTTTGGAAGGTATATATGAACGGTGGGCATGTAATGTTGCATTGATTCATCGATTTAAAATCAATACTTAAACTCACGACCCCTTT